TTTCATAGAGATTCGAACCTTTGTGGCTAGAATCTAAATGTTGGTGACTGTAAGCACAATATGTAAATGAGTTTGGCTTTTCCTTCCAAAATAACTGAACTTTCACTTTCGATATGTTAGCCAGCCTTGAATCCGGAATGTTTGCATCTTCCAGATTGTGTCTGGCAGCCTCTAAATCAACTGACAGGGAGCATCTGTCCCTGTGTGCAGGGCTGCTGAAAGGTGGGAGCAGAGATTAAAGACAGGAGATGGGAAGGAACAAAGGGAAGCAAGAGATTCCACAGAATGCTGTGAGAGACATTCCTTTTGATCTGTTTAGACTCCTCCAAGGCGGGATCCAGAGAAAAGAATGGCAGGTTGGAGACCACGCCCCCAGATTGGCTCTCTTGAACTGCGATAGCAGAACTGCTATTCCTAATCAGAAACATGGCTGGGAATGTTGGCTCATATCTCCTGGCATGACCAGCAACATCAGAGGTTTTAAAAGCTCTTGTACTTTGTATCAGCTTTTTCCTGTTTTAAACTGCTGAGCATTTATTGAAGGGTTACTGAGTGCCAGGCAATGGGATAAAGCCCTCTTAAGAGAGATGATTCAAATAATTCTTCCACGGAGCTCTCCAGGAGCTCTGCTAAAATAGTTCAATTTATGGATGAGAAAGACAGCAGATGCTTAAAAAGATTAACCAATTTGGTTAAAGCCAACAGAAAGTGTTCTGGTGGAGATGAGATTTGAACCCAGGTCTTTCTGAGTCTATAGCTTCAAATTTAAATTACAGTTCCAGCTGCCCCTTGAAAAGCAGCTGTTCCTTCTCCCTGCCCACCTTAGCAGTCCTGTGGGATGTCCAGGCTCTAAAGAGCATGCCTGTTAAAAATGGGTACATAGGCATGCCATATTTGGGGTACAGACAAGACACACCCCCTGGAGCAGTGATATGGAATAGTGATTCCTCCATATTGAAATGTCGTTTTCATATTAAAGCAAATGCACTGTGGTTGCCGCTTTTCGGACTCACGTCTTGTGGTTCAAAGTCTGCCCTCTTTTCAGCGCCTCTTCTCGCTAGCAGGTGGTTCAGCCTCCTCTTCCTCCTTGGCCAGACCCTTCTGCCCGTCATAGTTCTTTCTCTGTCCTCAACCATGAAGGACCTGTTCATGGTCACACAGGCCACAACTGTTTTTCTGTTACTTAGAAACAGGCACCAAGACAAGCCCAAAAAGCGAGTCTGCAGCCTCTGCAACCCAGGAGAGGTCGCGTCCTCCTGCGCAATGCCCACCAGGTGTGGGGCGCTCGGCGGGCCAGGGAAAACTCAACACTTAACACGGTGGGCGAGATCCCTGATGCAGAAATCACTATGAAACAACAGATGGCATTTGTGGATATTCAATTGCAATGTCGTAAGATGGAACATGAAAAGGAAGAAGATTTGGAAACAGATTTGGTTTGGTGGACGTGAAAGGGTCCTAGAGGAAGTAACATTGAACAAGACTCTCAGTTTCTTTGGCGGAGTCACCAGCTGAAAACAGGGACGTGGGTTCTAGTTCCATGGTTCTTAACTCTGACTGTGCGTTTCAGTCACTGGATGGATTTTTAAAAACTGCCCAGGCTGCACCAGACACCAATTATATTGAATTGCTGGGGCGGACTTAGATATTCCTACTTTAAAGCTCCCTGTGGACAGAATATACACAGACACACAGCAGAAGGCCCTTCCCATCCTAAGGTGACAGTTACAGAAGTGATGGGAAAGCTGCAGGGAGGCCAACAGGGGGCAAATAGGAGGTGATAACAGATCAGGCCCCACCATAGCTTGGATGAGGAGTTGAGGGCAGATGGTTCAGGCGCTACTCCTCGGCCTGAGTAGCATGATTTGGATTGTTTGCTGATTGATTTCGTTACATCTATGATGGAAATGGAAATCTCTCAGCCTGAAGCTCACCTGGAACTACAGTAAACAGCACTGCAGACGTGCCCTGGGCCTGCCGGGCGGCTGGGAGCACGACTTGCCTGTAATTACCTCCAATGTGGAAAGAAAAAGAACTTTCACATCCTGACTCTAAAATTCTCTCTTCGCCCTGTGTGTCGGTACATAAACTTTAATTCAGACATTGGCGGTACTGTCAGCAGCTCAGAGGGCTCGGAGGCTCCACGTGCCAGGGAGCAGGCGGCTTCTGCTGTCTTCCAGGAGGTCAGGATCCCCCTAGTTTGCTGAAGCCTCGCAGGCCACGTCTTTCTCGAGGGCAAGAGCAGAAGCTGAAAGACAGGACTTTGCCTCTGGTCTCTGTTCAGTGGCTGAGCAGTCTAGCCCAAGTTTCCTGCTCCTAGTGGGATTCAGATGTCTCTCTGCACACCTGGGGAAGTGTGTAACTATGATCATGTGAGGCTCGGGGCTGGATCTCTCAGAGTCCCTGCTGACAGCCCACGAGCCCAAGGGGCCGAGCGGGGAGAAATCACACAATATTAACCTCGTTCCTCGTGGGTATAGGTGCTATCAACAAATAGAAGTGCAGATAGGAAAACTCCCTTCCCCCTCTCCTTGGGCAGTCGTCTCTCCCAGCCTCTCTCTCCCCTTAAGCTATCTGTTAGGGTCTCCTGAGTTGCTTGAGGTCGCATTTACAGGGATTGGCAAATGTCGCCATGAAGAGCACAGGCCTGTTCTCCATAGGAGGAGCTGGCCTCTGAGGCCTGTTTTCTCCAGTCTCTCTCTTTCACGTTTGAAAGTGTGATTCTCCTTGGTGGGGAGAGGCAAATGAAATATCCAATGCTCATAAAATTAAAATAAAGTTCAGCACAAGCTGTTAATGAATTGAATTTGCTTCATACATATATTTATAAACTCAAAACAGACCTAGCGTACCCACACTTGTCAGTTGTCCATGGGATGTATGGGAAGCCAGAACTCCAGATGGACGTATGTATGCATAGGCCATACAGGAGCTGGAGAAAGCACCCCAAAAAACCACCCAAAAAGTTCTCTCAACATAAGAAGCTATAGCTAGTGGAAAACAATGCTGAAGAAAAACAATCACTTTTAAGGTCTTGAAAAGTCTCTTCTATATGAAACAGCCTTGGTTTGCTGCTATATAGTTTATGAGCCTGAAAATGAAATTACAGGGCATAAAATATAAAAAACCTAATCAATATCATATAACCAGGAAACTTGGAAATTTAAAAAGTTCTCTTGTGCTAACATTTGAGGCCACAAATACCAGAATATGGCCTAAGGAGAGGAAGTCTGTATTCATATCATGCCCCGGTCACCTTGGCCAAGGGTGGCACTCCTTCCATCAACTCAGTTGTGAGGCCCGATGCCGGAGACAGGTGTTGATTTCTGTTCCTTTCCCTGCTCCTCCTCCTTCTCCTTCCTTTTTTTTTTTTTTTTTTGAGACGGAGTTTCGCTCTTGTTACCCAGGCTGGAGTGCAATGGCGCGATCTCGGCTCACCACAACCTCCGCCTCCTGGGTTCAGGCAATTCTCCTGCCTCAGCCTCCTGAGTAGCTGGGATTACAGGCACGTGCCACCATGCCCAGCTAATTTTTTGTATTTTTAGTAGAGACGGAGTTTCACCATGTTGACCAGGATGGTCTCGATCTCTTGACCTCGTGATTCACCCGCCTCAGCCTCCCAAAGTGCTGGGATTACAGGCGTGAGCCACCGTGCCCGACCTCCTTCCTCTTTTTAATAGCAGGTAAGTTTACTGTCAAATGATCAGTTCTTTCATCGTTTGAAAACTGTGAATGCTTCCTGATTTTAACCATCAGCAGTAAATTATTGAGAGACATTATGTTCTCTGAAGACACAGAGAGAAGTTTTCCCTTCCTTTCATCATAAGAGCTTGAACCTCTCCTATCTGTCCCTCTCCACCCTCCTAGGTCTCAGAGTAGCTTTTGTAGGTTGGGACTTTGGTAAAAAGGCTTGGCAGCAAATTTCAGTTGTCACAGTATGACCTTAGACACGTCGCTCCTTAAACCTCAGTTTTCTCAACTAAAAGTGGAGGTAGTTCTCTATTCAAATATGAAACCCTTAGAGATACCTAGCCAAGCCACTCCATCAATAATAGCCTATCTACCCTCTTTGAAAAAAAAAGTAAATCTTAATCTCTTTTATGCTTATCATTGACATTATACTGTATTTCTTTTCTTTTCTTGTTTCTTTTTTTTTTTTGAGGCAGAGTTTCACTCTTGTTGCCCAGACTGTAGTGCAGTGGCATGATCTCTCAGTCACTGCAACCTCCGCCTCCTGGGTTCAAGCACTTCTCCTGCCTCGGCCTCTGAGTAGCTGGGATTATGGGCATGCTCTACTACACCCAGCTAATTCTGTATTTTTAGTAGAGATGGAGTTTTACCATATTGGTCAGGCCCGTCTCGAACTCCTGACCTCAGATGATCTGCCCACCTCAGCCTCCCAAAGTGCTGGGACTACAGGTGTAAGCCACCACGCCCAGCTGTTATACTGTATTTCTGTTTGGTGATTTGTTAACAATAGAAGTTAAACCCTGTGAGTGTTGTGTTCTCACTCTTGGAATAAGGCCTGACCCCAAGAAGGCTTTCATAAGAGCCAGCTTAATGGATGAATAGTAACTCAGTCAAGAACCATGTTTTGATAAAAGGAGGCCAGGGTAGCTGCAGGGGATGCTGATACATACCGGCAGAGAAGAGGAATCAAGGCTTACAATGGAGAAGTGAAAAGGTTGGCCAAAGGGTTAGTGTAAGGTTTATTGCCAAGGTAAAATGAGGAAACTGAGGCAAGTATAAGAAAATGAGAAGCTAATTTATTCAGCTCCCGGGCGAGGTTCTGTGGTCCAGGAAGGGGCAAAAAGAGTCATGCCAGGCTGTTTAGGGTGTGGGAGTTTATGGTGAGGGAAGGCAATTGATTGGCTATTGGGGAAACAAAGTGAAGGCAATTTCATTGGCTGTTGAGAGGCAGGAAATGCCTGGAGCTAGCTGTCATTGGTAGGTGGGCGGGACCTTGGGTAAGTGGGCTGGCTGGGGGTGTACGGGGCAGGTGGCTGCCGGCAGGGTTTGGTGGGGCTTCTTTAAAAAATTCTTTTGCAAGTTTTTTCAACAGTGGGCTGGAGGTTGGATGCATAGTTTAGTGCCGAGTGTGGGCTTGGGTGTGGTATGCAGAGGCGAGTGGTGGGGGGAGGCCATGTGGTGAGGCCAGATAACAAGCTGGGGTGATGACCTAGTTACCAGGCGCGGAGAAGGACGGATGTGTCCGTTTGACTCCCGGTGAGGCAACTGGCCTTACAGTTAGGAGCTGAAAGTAGTGTCATAGAGCCCAGTGTCCATGGAGCCATGGACACTACTAAGGAGGGAGGAGCTGAGAGACCCCTGGCTTAAGAGACATTATTCTGGCCCCCAGGTGCACATCCAACGTTGGTAAGTGTTTGTTGAGTGCCTGTTAGGCATAAAACCAAGTACTGCAGGAAATGTAGCAAGAATGAATTCGAGGTTTGTAGTCTTCGGGAGGACTGGGGCAGGCACGGCTGACACCTGTACCCTGCCAGCCCCCTTCCAGTTCACCTACTCTACCGTCCATATTTCCAGATCCTTGAAGGCTGCCTACTGCAAACGCCTTCCTGTGTTCTCTGCCTGAGGGTTTTCTCTGACTTGCTCCTTCACAGACGAAAGCTACTTGGCAGGTCAGTGGCACTAACACACCTGAGAACAACGGGTGGTGGATGGGAGTCACTGGGTCAAGGCCCTGGGCTCCCGTCCTGTGGTGAGCAGCCCTGAGAGGAGTCTATGAGGCTCAGAGTTTCCTGGGTGGGACACAGCCAGTCCCAGCGCCCATGCTGTTTTGCTCAGTCACACATGCATCACGGGCCTTTCTCCCCATTCTCCTGACCCTCCTCCCTCCCACTCTCTCTCCCTCCCCTGCACTTCAATCCACAGCATACCCTGCTTTACCTCCCAGAAGAGATCACCTGCCCGTGTTCTTGTCTTGGGGCCTGCTTTTAGGAAGACCTACACTAAGAATATACACCAAAACTGATAACCTAGCGTTAGTTAGGTGCCAAGTCGGGAGCAGAGAATTAAAGTTGCCTGGGATAAGGATTTCACATTTCTGGGAAGGATGAGATTACTCTGGCCCATGATGGTCAATGGAGGAGAGATTATAATGGCGGGATGTTGACGGAGGAGTAGGATTTTCATAGTGGTATATGGTGAAGGAGGATGAGAGGAAAGGGGAAATGTCAGAAAGGAGAGAAGATGAGGAAAAGAGGCCTTCGAGAACAGAAACTTGATATAGTGGTGAAGAGGTCAGTGGATAAACTTGAGGAAAGTCCTGGAAATGTTTGCTGGAAATGTCTGATTGTCAAGGGTCTCCCAGCTTAGCTAAGATATAGGAAGTTGAACCCATGGAGAATTGGGAGCCACAGAGTTTTCGAACAGTGGTTTTGCATGATAACAGAAGAGACTTAGCATTTGTTGGGGAGGGTAGGAGCCCAGTAGACAAGAGAGTGAAGGACAGATGTGAAGGCTCTCCATAGGGTTGTCTCTCTGCAAATGCATGGGAGGGGTAAACTTGAGAGGCTGTGGTGGGGACCACAATGCACCACCCACATCCCCCATTAGGGAAGGTCTTGTGGTTCTACCTGCTAGGAGGGCTGGAGGCAGACATCCTTCAGCTCTCAGAAGTTTCAGGGTAGGGGGAGGGCTCAGAGAAACACCTCGCCTCAAACCATATCCTTTTCCAATGGCCCATGTGTAATGACTGGTCACTCTGGGAGTATCAAGGACTGGCCATCTCTGCCCAACTTGAATCAACTAAGAAGGACCATGCAAGCCCAGCAGTGATGGCTTTATCAGCCAAGACTGACCCTGTGCAAGCCTCCCAGCTCCCCTTCTCCCTCTGCCCGCTGCTGCTTCCTTTCCCTCCTTCCATAGGCAATTGACATGTTTTGTTTCAGACATGTTGAGTTTGGCTCTGAAAGTTCTAAAGAATCTGGGTTATTTGGTGTCCCCTAATGTAAAGACAATTGGTTTTACCATATTTCTTCTTGCAACAGTTCTGTCCTACTGGCCATAGATCAGGGGGCTGTAGCCCTTGTCTGAGCCGTCAGAACCCTTCACAGGGATTTCCTAATTTGAGAGGAAGAGTCATTTTCTTCTCTGGTCCTGAAGTTGCTGATATAAGCTCCAGACTTCCTGGGGCCATGTTACTTGGACAAGGGTTTGTGTCAGAGTGAGAAGACGAGACAGAGAGAGAGAGAGAGAGAGAGAGAGAGAGAGAGAGAGAGAGAGAGAAAGAAAGAAACAGAGGAGCCCAGGTGGATACGGGCCTGCAGTGTCTGTCTGTAGTAGCTGGAATTCCCAGGTGCACCCTGTGTGACCCTCTCTGCTCCCCAGTGTGAGTGAGACCTAGAAATACGATGGGATATTTCTCCTGTGATCAGGTTACATTACACAACACTTCACCTTAGCACACTGCAAAAAGAGAGGGACTCTTCTGTTAGCCTTAAAGGGACTGCCATGTCAGAGAAAAAGCTGCTGAGGGTGTCCTCCAGTTTTCGAGAGTGGTCTCAGGCTGAAGCTGGCAAGAACATGTTGGGGTAATAACAGCTTCTCCATGTTGCTTGTCTCGGCATGCTTCAACCTTCCTTCTTGATTTTCTCAGCTGTGCACACACTTTATTAGAGAGTCCTATCATTAAAATCTCTTTGCTTAAAACTTTTGGAGTAAAAGTGAATTTCCTACCAAGACCTGAAATGATACAAAGGCTGATTCATACATCCATGTGGAGTGAGCATGAATCTTTGTCCAGAAACTTGGGAATGAAAATCAAGTCTTGTAACTTAATTTTCTTTTGTTTTCAGTTAAATTAAATGTGACTTTGGGGTGCCTGAGGTTGGCTGGCAGGAAACCCAGTGAAAATCACTGCTGGGCTCTCTTTGCGCCCCCCTAGGTCTGTACAAAGATTCCAGAAATCTCATGCTCAGCAAAATATTTGTAGGTCCTCTCTGTCTTCAGGTTACGGTGGTCACCTTTGTGATTCCTACCACCAGTGCACCTCTTGAAATCTGGAGGTCCCACCGTGCTGAGAGCTTGACCAAGTTGAATCCTAGAGCCCAAGTCCAACCTCCTGAGATGCCCACCCCACAATCATGCTTGGCTTCCAAAGGTCCTGTTGTCCTCTGGTCCCAGGGCCCAACAAGAGAGTAAACAATAAGTCCTTGCCACTTCTGAAACCCTGGATGCCTTCCTGTTCTCAGTCTGACTCCAGACATCCAGTTTTGATCCTGTCTCCATGACTTTCTCTTGAGTAAGGAAAGATTAAGGGTTTGGGCTTGTTCCTTGACCAAGAGAAGAGGAGAAAATCCAGAAAGAGCAAAACACACAGTTGATTGAATATCAGGCTTGTGATGCCTGATGAAGCTTAGGCAATCTGCAGTGTCCTTTGCTGCTTTTGGTAACCTCTGTGCCACCACACAGTGTTCTTGCGTTCTTGGAAACAGGTTTTGAAAGAGAACAATAGCTACTGACCCCAACAAACCGTCCATATGGCAGGGCACTGCAGGAATCCCCCAGCCTGCTTGGCAGGAAGAAGCCTGGAGTTCACAGACAAGCCACAAAGATTTTGTTCCCCTGTCTTCAAGAAAGGGTCAATTCAAGATTTGATTTAAGGATCATTTAGTGGCACCAACTGAAGATATGCTTATTTAACTTGATTCCATTTTTTGGAATACAGTTTATTTAATGCTCTTTCAAGTGGAAAAAATAAGAAACAAATAATATTTGAAAAGTAGACTTTCGTTTTGAAAAGCTCCATGATGGTTAAGTTTCTCCTCTTCATTCTAGGGACAGTAAAGAAGAATCCAATTATGATAATAATTTTAACTTAAATACCATTAGAAAAAGTTTGGACAGGAAATCACTATTAGGCTGCCATTCCCGATAATTTTAGTAGCGCATAAGAAAGCTGCATGTATGGTAAGCACTGCACGTGTGCATCCAAAATCTGTTATTCCGTGTATAGTAAGCACTGCACATGTGTGCATCCAAAGGCTCTGTTACTCCATGTAGTCTGTGCTGACGGGGTCAGCATAATTATATGACTGGCTCCAAAGCTAAAGAAAAAGTGCGGTTTAAAAAAGAAAGTGCAGTTTCTCAAGAGAATGGTTAACAAATTCCTAAAAGGAATGAAAAGGCAGATAAGTCCCACACTAACTTTCCCACTCTGGCTCTTAGCCTTTTGCAGGGGCCAACTCCTAGCTTCTGCCTTCATAGAAAGCAGAGCGTGGGACTGCAGCTGGGCGGCCATTCTACCTCCTTCTGGCTTCCGGTGGGGGCAGGGGATACACAGCACCAAGAGCCGGGGGCATTTTTAATGTAATTTAGTCCAACTTGCTAGGGAACCAAAGAAAAGTCATTTTAGCAGATCTAGCCATGTGACTTCTGACAAGTCACTAAAGTCTCTGACACTTCATCTTCCCCATCTGCAGCTCTGTCTGTGGTTTGTTTAATTCCGCCTTTCAAAGAACTTAGAAGAAGGTTCATAAGCTTTGAAGTTAGGTAAGCGGCTGGAAATCCTAATGCTCGCCCTTGAGTGCTGTGTGACTTTGGGTAAGTTTAGAACTTTTCTGGGCCTCAGTCTCTTTACCTTTTAAATGAGACTAAGTGTGTACACGATGCTAATCAGTTGAGACAGTGTGTGTGAAGGTTTAGCACAGTCTCTGCCACAAGAAGAACACAGTGAGTTTTCTTCCTGTCATTTAAAGGGCTGTAGCAATAGTGTTTTTGATTGCAGTGGGTTGTTGACTGCCAAGTGAATGAGTAGTTGTGGACATGGAAGATATGAAAAAAGCCACGAGGGTCAGAGTCGCATGGTCAGCTGCCACGGCAATCCTGAAAAGCTCCTCTACCTGAATGGCCTTGTGCCTCAGTAATTCCCCTGGAGATCCTGTTCCCTTTCTCAGCCTTGGAACTCTGCATATTCAACCAGTTGAGTCAACCTCCAGTGGAGTGAGATTAGGCATCTTCAGTGACCTTAAAAAGCCAGCTTCACTCTCTAGCCAAGACTCAGAAAGCTGGAGCCAAATCAGAATTACTAGGATACGGAAAAGAATGCGTGGACAGAAGCCGCCATTGCAGCCGTGGAAAGCACTGATAGAAATGCTGTTCGGGGAAACGTGTGTAGATCCCCACACACGTGGGCTAGGCACCCCAGGCAGGCCCCTGGCCTGGGTGAAACACCCCTGCTTGCTCTCCCCTTTACAAAGGAAGCTTTGGGGAAAATCGTACTTTACCCATCCACTAGAGAGGCAGAGGGTGGGGGGGGGGTCTGGTGGTCTAACATGCATCTACTGAGGCAGAAATGGGCAATGCCTTCCACACCCAAGCATCTTAGGACCTTGGTAAGAGGGAGGTGATCTCTGAGGGCCTGGCCATGGGCTGCCCTGAAGACAGGTGGTCGGCCAGGTGGCTTGGTGGCCTTCCGCTGGTGACGTGACACCCTGGAAGTGATCCCTTTGCCTCTGTTCCCTGTCAGTCAAGTAGTGGCAGCCTGAATAGAGAGAACAACATCTGGGCATGAATTGATTTGGCGTATTTTTAACCAGGCACTAAGGAAGGGCTCAGAGACACATTTAGGAGGAAAGGGTAGGAGTGTTCACTCCTGGTGACGGTGAGCTTTGGGGTCTGATGACAGATAGTTTCCCCCAACCTTGCTGCTCATCTAAAGTAATAAAACTCCCACATAGATTTTTAACCATTGAATGAAAGCTGATCTCTGATTCGTTGCCCGGTTTTTATTATCTGATTGCAGTGTGCTTGCTGCCTGTTTCTTACTGCCTTTGGAGGGATTACCTGGGGCAGGTAAGCAATTTCTCTTTAGAAAAACTGAGCATCAAAAATAATAAGAGCGACCTGCAGGATACTGAATAACATGACGGGGAAGGCGGCAGGGTCATTTCTATTAAAGTGAAGCAGGGCTGATATCCTGCATGTCTGCATTAATGCCCAAATTATGCGAAAACAATAATCAGTGCTCTACGAATGATCAGCCTAAGGATGAGGTATGGTGCACAGGGGTTTTGATAGGGCATTAGGTGTGACTTCCGGACCAGTGGATGAACATTTTAAGAAAGTGTTCTTTACTCTGTGTTCATTACAAACGGTAATAACACTCCAGTTTCATACGGCAGATGTTAACTCTTGCGGTAATACTGGTGCTCTCCAAGTCAAACAGTCATGGCCGAAGAGCTTCTCCAGTGCTCGGTCTTTCCGGACTGCCGTGGTCTCCACCAGCTCTTTATGACATCCTGTGCCAAGGCCGATTGTCCTCCTTGGTGCTCACAGACCTGCCTCACCTCCTGCCGTGCCCTATGTCATCTCTTAAGCCTCCCACCCGTGCCCCTTCCTGAAGTCACCTGCCTGCTCTGAGGTCCCTGTGGCTCTTTTGTCAGCTTTGCAGATGAGGGCACATCAGTGCCTCAAGATCCTTCAAGCACATGGGCTGTGACTTCGTGCTTCTGTTGTCTTCTCTGGTAAGCAAAGGTACTTTGCTGTGAAGAGAAAACCCCTTAGTAACCAACATGGCTCTCAATCACATCCTGCACTTTCTCGTGTGTGTGTGTGTGTGTGTGTGTGTATGTGTGTGTTTGGGGTGTGCGTGTGTGTGTGTGTCTAGTGTTTCTCAGCCACTGGCATTTAATCCACAGAGGGTCACCTGTGCTTCTGTGTCCAAATAGGGTGCTGGAGACACCCTTAGGGTCAGTTGACATGTCCCCAACATAGGGACACAGGGGACATGTCAATTTCCTGACAAGTTGTGTTTCCCTGGGAAAATCAGAAACGACGTATTTTCCCGCAATTGTTCCCTATGTCAAGCATTTAGGGGCCCCAAGAGAGACCCATGTGGAAGTACTTCCTTTTCTTTCCCCGTTCAATAAATAACATCCTAAGGCTGAGGACAGGGAGGTGTGGAGAGCAGAATCCAATAGCGGAAGCCACCCAGACTAGACAAACAGGAGAGGGCAAATGAAAATAAGCAGGTAAGGAGGAGGTTGGGAATGGTCAGGAGGGCTCGGGGTGTGTGGCTGGGAGCTTGGACTGTGGGCAGCTGCTGAGCAGAGCACCAAGGCCAGGCACATGTGTCTCTGAGGCGAACTGCAGCACAGCAGAGGTTCTGTCCTTGTGGGAGACAGGGCTCAACCTCCAGGACAAGGAGTGGACCCAGCAGATAGCGTGTTTCCACTGAGTATCAGAGATGCTGCTGAGAGCTTGGCACCAACCGTTTCATTCTGAGGGGTGCCCGGCCCTTCAGATTCACCATTACACTTTTGTATCTGGAAGTAAAACAGGCTCAGAAAGGTTAAGTGCACCTCTGTCCCCATGTCACTCCGACAAAACTGAGGTTGGAATTCATGTTTGATTTCAGGTTTTTGCTCTTTCTATTATGCTGGTGCATTCTTTGTGGTATGTGGATCGTGTGGAAATACCGGATGGGTCCCGCTTACAATAGCTGAATATACAATTCCACATTAAATCAGATACCACCTTATGTAGATTCCATTTAGCAAGTGTTCAATAATTTTTTTTTAATTACATGAGAGAAACAGAAAAACATTGAGAAAAATCTGTTAATTTGATTTTTCTGTAGCCCAATAAAAAGGTCACCTCTAAAAGTGAATAGCACAGGCCTCATGTCCAGCTTGAGGGCTGCTATGTTTTCAGGAAATAGAGTCAGAGACCATCCCCCGCCTGGACTCTGGCTCTCCACTGGAGAGCAATGAGGAGGTGAGAGTCCCTGCCCCTGCCCTGCCTCCACCTCCCTCCCATGTCACCTCTCAGGTCCATCTGGCCTTGCTACAAATGCCCACCAGAGAAGAAAGACAGTGATTTTTGTTTTAGATTTTATCATTTCATTTTTACGTAAGTCACCCAAGCTTCTTGTTAAAAATTTACGAAACACAGATAAGCCAAAAAGTATGCAGAAATAATTCAGTTGTAACAATTCTTCTTTATGACTCCACCAGCAATAAAAATTTGGACCTGTAATCGTTCAGAGACTTTCTGTGCGTATCCAGCCTCTAGATCTTTTTCAGGCATGGCTACCTTCTATGTCAGTTAATTCACAGCTCCATTATCGTTTCCCAAAGATGTGTTCCCACAATGTATGCAGTAAAACAGCCCAACATACGTTTAAAAATGTGGATTCCTACACTCTTCATTCTACAGAATCAGCGTCTTGCACCCCAGGGACACTGAGAGTCTGCTTTTAACAAACTTCCTGGTGATTCTCACATGCACAGTGCCCACAGTCCTCACCTTCTCCTGTCTGGGAGTATTCCGACGCACTCCAGAGTTCAGAGCCCTACCAATAGACATTTAGGCAATTCCTGATGTTTTTCTCAGTGGTCCACCTACATCAATGCACATGTATCTTTATGCACTGTTTTCTTTGAACAAACCCATGTTAATGGAGTTGTAGGATTACAGACTCACCGGTATATTGACACTTCTTGTATCTGTTGGCTGTTGCCCGCTGAAGCAGGGGTAGTGATGTGCAGAACCGTATTGCACCCCTAGCAGGCAACAGTGTTTCAAGCTCACGCAAAGGCCTGAAGTATCAGGAGGATGTGCTGAACGCTGAGGGCTGCTGAGATGAGGGTGCCAGCAGCCCTCAGGGGCTGTAAGTGTGAAGCCCAGAGAAGAAGCCAACTTGAGCCAAGCCCCCCATTCATTAGACCTGGTCCTGCCCACTAACGCGGTCACCCCCATGGCTCCTGCACCTGCCTTGCCCAGAGAGGTTCCCAGGCTAATCACTCCCACATTGTCGCCTCCATGAATAAATCTCCCACAGGTAGACTTATTTTTGTGGGGGGTTTGTGGGGGAAAGAAGAGCCGCCGCTATTGGCAGCTCCGTGGTTGGCTGACACATCAGACCTGGCAGGGGTGGATTAACTTTCACACATCCCACGTGGCATCTCTTCATTCAGCTGATAAAGGTTAGAAGATTCATCTGTCAGCAACTATGATGGGTGCTGGAGCCGCAATAGCAGGTGGGGCTCAGCCCCTGACCTTGAGTTCCTTGGACTTCATTTGAGGAGACAAAATTATGGAACAAGTAGAATGTCGCATGAGTGGAAGTGTAGCCGGCTTATTATCCAGGGACACAGAGAAGGAGCTGAGACCTCCTGGAGGTCTCAGGAAAGGTAACACTTTCTCTATCATCTAAAAAGGAAATGTTTTTAATTATGAAAGGAATACACAATTACAAAAAGTCTAAGCCATACAGAGGCAGAGAACAACTTTAGAAATCCACCACATCTTCATTTCCCTAACGTAATTGCTGTTAGATTCTGGACTCCAAAAATCTATATTAGCAAGATGTGTGTAAGTATTTACACAGTGAGATCATACTTTACAGGCCTTTCTTTCAACTGGTTTTCTCACTCAACAATTGGGCGTCTTCTTGCGTCAATACATTTGCGGACTGTTTTCACAATAACTTCAGTGGCTGTAGAGCCGTCTGCGTTACAGGTGCTCCATGGGCATTTAAAATGGTAACCCTCATCCTTGTTATAATCAGTATTGTGCTACGGACTTTATGGCCAGGTTCCCCTCAGGCCCTGTCAGAGATTCCACTTTGAGCTGCTTTTTTGAGCACAGGTTTCCTTATCAGCACTAATGGGTCCCTTAATGAAAACCTAGCATCTTAATAGGCCGTTGAGTCCTGAATATATTGTCTTACAAGTAAGCCTTAAATGTAATAATCAAAGACCCTCAAGTTACTGATAGACCTACTGATTTTATAGATGAGGACACTGAAACCAGAGACACATTTTCCTGGGGAACGTTCTAGACTTCAAAATGTTGGCATTTTGGGGGCTGCCTCTCAGCGAGTTGACTACTGCTGACCTCTAATGGCAAGCCAAGGTACTGCACAAAAAAATCCGTGGAAAACTGGGAACTGGTTGTATTATGTGTGGTTAATCCAACTGTAGTTGTGAATTCCCAAGGTCTTTGAAAAGGTGCTGAGTTGTCTCATGATTAGAAGGGGTCTTAACAGAGTGTCATGGCGTAGATCCAGTGAGTCATGCCTCAAATCGGTCCACTTCTTTTTTGGCTGGAGCAAACGATCATTTTCATAAATGCATAATGTGGTGCATAGTGTAAAGATGCACACACATTTAAATGTCCACATTAATTACCCACTAGTTAAATATCAAAGGGCATATTAATCCTATGACATGAAATCTCCCATTATTTAGCACAATATTACCAGGGCAGTCCAGAAATACCTGCAACCATTCATTGCCTGTCTAATGTTTGGTTTTGAAGGGGTGGGTCAGACAGAGGGTCTTTTTTTTTTTTTTTTTTTTTTTTTTTTTGAGACGGAGTTTCTCTCTTGTTACCCAGGCTGGAGTCCAATGGCGCGATCTCGGCTCACCGCAACCTCCCCCTCCTGGGTTCAGGCAGTTCTCCTGCCTCAGCCTCCTGAGTAGCTGGGATTACAGGCACGTGCCACCATGCTCAGCTAATTTTTTTGTGTTTTTAGTAGAGACGGGGTTTCACAATGTTGACCAGGATGGTCTCGATCTCTTGACCTCGTGATCCACCCGCCTTGGCCTCCCAAAGTGCTGGGATTACAGGCGTGAGCCACCGCGCTCGGCCCCCAGACAGAGGGTCTTAAGCCACTGCTGGTAAATGACAAACTAACTCTGAGGTCATAAGTCCTTGGTGTACATCCCAAAACCATACAAGGGAATATTATTCAACCATAAAACGGGTGAAGTACTAAAACATGCTGTGACTTGGATGAACTTTAAAAGCATGCTAAGTGAAAGAAGCCAGACACAAAACGCCACACATCATATGATTGCATGTATATGAAATATCCGGAATAGGCAAATCTATAGAGAAAGTAAATGAGTGGTTTCCAGGGGTTATGGGGTGAAGGAGTAGGGAGTGCCTGGTAGTGGGTATTGAGTTTCTTTTGGAGGATGATGAAATGTTTTGGAATTAGATAGTGGTGACAGTGTAAACTTTGCAGTATACCAAAAACTGTGAAACTGTGCACTTTAAGAGGGTAATTAATGGTATATAAGTAATATTTTAATTTTCAAAAGATTATAGCTTAATAAACAAGGAAATATAGCACAGGGAGAAAAACACAAACTTTACATTTAGATGGATTTATATGAAATCCTGACTCTACTGTTTACTAGCTAGAGACATTGGAAAATCATTTCAACTTCCGTGAGATTTGGATTCATATTCTGCAAGATAAAAATAGTAGCACCTGCTTTTAGAGCTGCTGTAATTGATAAGTGTGTGGACATATATATGCACAATTAATATCATTATTAATGCTGTATTGATAAATTGATGTTTAAAATATTATAACTGAAAGGCTACAACTGCATTTTCCCTCATATGAAGCCCAGTGCCCTCCGGGACTCCTCAGTAGGCTGGAGAACACCCACAGGATAATGCAAATAGAAGCGTCCGTGCTCAGCACTCCTCAGTCCACCTGGTTAGCTACAGAGCAACAATGTCATCTGCAGGGTTTCTACACAGGACTCCAGCTCCTAATGAAGAGGGGAAAAATGGTATCATTTCTGCGTAGCCCAAGTCTCTGCACCTTCTGTAAATTTCCGTGCTGTTTGAGTTCTCACTTTGGGGGCTGTATGGAATTAATCAAGCTTTGGCCTCTGGTTTAACCACTGATTTGTCTCTATTCTTCTACAGTTTCCCACGGCAGTGGAGCTGTGCATGGTCCCAGATCAAGGGCTCTTTTCAGGTTGCCTGAAGTTCTTCAAGAGCAAGAAACAGTTTGGAATTAAGGGTACCAAATCTTGTGAGACATTTTGTTTTGTGTTTTTTTAAATGGAAAACAAAGGTGAGCAGACAAATGCATAACATTTCATCAGAAAAGGAAACCAAACCCTTGGTCAAAAAAGTGAATCAGCAACAGTTAACTGAGAGGAGGTGTCTTAAAGATAATCCCATTATCCTCAAAGTATCTCTGAGTTTGAGGCACCAGATTTATGGACTGCCATCTCCTATATGAAAAGATAAAGGGAGAATAAATCTATGTTTACATTCACAACTGGGCCAGAGGATCCAGTTTTCATTTGATTTGAACAAGTAGAAAACGTTCATCAGGATTTAACCAAAATAGTGCATATTGATTTAAGTTAGTCAATTAAAAAATTGGCAAAATGACAGAATTGCTCCATAAGTAGCCGTGCCACACACCTGAATACACACATCATGTTCAACAAGCAATTATTTCACTTTACTCTCTGTGCCAGTGCATGTTTGCTTTCAGAACGCTGCAGGTATGATAAGAAGCTTAATGTTCTGCTTTCTATGTAGCATTTTTACTGATGCCCATGAAATTCTGAACCATATGGTTTTATATTCTATACTCTCTATGTTTTATTATCCAAAAGTATATTTTTCTACTGTGTTCTAGCACACAGTCTACTGTATATGTATGAATGAAATAATGTCTTTTTCCACAGTGATGCAAAGAACTTTTACTTTTTTTCACAAAAAGAGCATGTCTGTGTTGCGAAATCAAGCTTTTTGTGCATATCAAACTGTTTATAGTTTGTACACAGCAAACTGTAAGTAGATACAATCCTTTTAAACTTGTGAGTTACTTAAAAAAAAAGATCTTCTTAATTAGAAAGATCAATCTATTTTCACCTGTCATTTGAAGTAATAACCCGGTTGCATGACTTTGGGACAGCACATATACTTGAGTAGGAGAACGTTAACTCCAATATTCATGGAAACCTACAAAGGCAAAACTGTCCCTTTCTCAGTGCTAAGTGTGGGGCTCTGCTTTGTAAAAACAGCTGGAGAGAATCACAGGAGGCTGTGTTTGTCCCTCCACAGCCATAGCATGCATGGAACATCTTGACTACAAGTGCTAGAGGAATGTTTTAGAGTCAGACTCCAAATTCTAGATCTTCAACCACGTGATTACAGTGGGGGCAGCCACATTTATAAAGTGAGACCCTCCTCCCCTCTGCGACCACACTGATTGGGCCAGGCAAAAGCACCTGACCAAAGTTGAGCCAATGAGCCTCTTGCATTTGAAACTACCAAAAATGGAGACTGAAAGAGCTTAGTTTTGAGTTGGATGTATTTGACTGTAGGGTATGTAATTTCGGAAGAAGATGCCAGGATCTTTTTCTCTTCATCAGGTGGGAAATTGAAGGCTCATCTGCAATGATGAAGAATGAGAAGCCCCCTGGAGGGAAGCAAGGCTGAGAGACAGAAGAGAGACTGTCCTAGGGTCCAATTAGAGGGTAGGACTGTGGTTCATTGAAGTGGGAGGACCAAGGGGTCCCCTGGTCCTCTGCTTCCAAGAGTCCCCATATACTGGTAACCAAATCTCTCCTTCCCTTTATTTCCAAAATTCCCCCGATGGGTTTTCTGCTATTTGTAATCAAAATATTCCTGACCACAAGTCACAATACTAAATATTTTCGAAATCCAAAGCAATACAAGGAGAGTGTGAATTTAATTATTATCTTCATTTTAATTCATGGAGAGTTAGAAATGTTCATTTGAGACATATCGGGAGTGGGCAGTGGCAAGCTTTAAGCTTACATCCGCCTCTTTTGAAAACTTTCACCACGTTGAGGTGTGTATGCTCTTGAAAAAGAGTGGCAAACCTAGGAAAACGGATTCTCGGTTGATATAAAACTAAGTTCCAGAAAAACAATCTAAATAGGTACTTCAAATTAATAGAGGAAAAAACATACAAACGAAATCAGATATAATTGCCAGAAAATCCTGTCGCAGATGAAGGTGTTTCTTGCTCTCCTGCTCCCCGAGCTCCTGATGCTTTTGGTTGTCACCATCAGGAATGAAGACGGTATCTCATTAACCAGTGAGATTTTCCTTGAACACTACCTCCTCCCCAAATAAAATAAATTGGGCCTAAAAAAATAATTATTAACAGCTGATCTGAGGTTTCAGGGGGCAGAGATTGTGAAAATAATGAAGTCATGAGAGGATTTCCCGTGAAGCGCATCAGTGCGAGCGGTTCACACTGTCGTTCATGGTTCGGCATCACCCTGTGAGGTGTGTTTCATTCCAAAGATGAGGCTACCACAAAAATAGTTTTGGAATGATCCATCTGAAATCGTTCAGCTTCAACAATGCCTTTCCTCCGTAACATGGGAAAGGTGATTGTGTAGCGCGCATCTCAACCCTCATGGCATTCCTAGGATATGGGGATGTTTTCCCTTACTTTGCAGATTAAAAAAAAAAAAGCCTGACTTGGAGAACTAATTTGCTTCAAATCACACAGCTAGTCAGGGGCAAATAAAAGGTTCAATTCTTCTGGTTTTTAAGCAGAACGTTTTTTTCTCTATGATACCCTGCCCTTATTCCTGTCTGTTTGCTAGACAAGAATATTGGTCTCATTGCATTTAAACGTTATGAAAGCGCTTAATGAGTTACTTCATCCTTTTGGAAAGGAAGTGAGAAGAAGCGTGCTACTTACCTTACTTTTATTCATACTTTCATATTGTGTAAAAACTGCCAGAAGACATAGCATAGAAACAACATTTTACCTTGATAGCGTCTTAAAGATCCCTAGCTGGTAGCCCCCAAAAGAAGTTTGCTTTGAGACATGGTTTTACTGAGCATTTGGAAATATGCACATTCAAATACAGAAATAAGAACTTTGTAAGAAAAACAATAATTTTATGACTCTTCTTAATATTAGCTATTATTTCCTAGTCTTTTCACTGTCACATGGGCTAAATTTTAATATGGATTATCTCACTTAGTCCTTAAACCAGTCTGTATAAGGCAGACAGCATAGCTTTTCCAAAGTTATCCAGGGAACAAAAACCAAAGCTAGGACCCAAATCAAGGATTCTCTCATGACCTCCATGCTTACAATATTACCTTTGTTTTCCCCCAGCAATATGTGGACCATGGTCTTCTTAACAAAAGGGCTGCAATATGTGTTATTAATCATCACATACACACACAGACACATACTCAAATACAAAGATTTGCTATTAACTTAGGTTGTACAATTAAAAACCAAAAGCCAGTCCTTACCATGTGGCTTAAACTAGAACGTGTGTTTCTTCCAATATCAGGTCAATATGTTATTATTGAACCAACAATGTGAAGAAAAGAATATGGCTTCAATGGTGAAGCCATATCACATGTTAGAAACATATTTGCTTGCCATAATGAACGCTTGAAATTGATGCAAAAGCAGTGGTCCGGTGCTAACAGTTATACTTCTTGACCTGTGCAGTGTTTTCCTTTCAGAATATGTAGCACCCAAAGCAATGGAATGACTCAAAAACATTGTACGTTTCTAGAAGGCATATCTGTGCAAAAAATGGGATCAATTCATTCATACAACTGGATAATATGTTGAGCAAATCCAGTGAAACAAATTTATGTTACCATGTGTAGCATCCCAAAATAGAGTCCATTCCTGACTCTCAAGTTTGAATGTTGTGAGTTTGAAGACAAAGAGGAGTCTCTGGGAACGTGTTCTGCACACCGCCCAGGGCCTGTAGAGCAGATGATCTCATTAAGTGAGTCTGCCTGTGGTTTGGAGGTGAGCACTGGTCCTCCTGCCTTCTAAATAAAGACACAGGACACTCAGTTGCGTCCTTATAAGTGGGCCAGGTTCAGTGAGAGGGAGGCATGCGTTGGCTCACAGAATCACAGATATATTAGAGAAGAAACAGACAATGTTATAAGCATGAGGTTGTTATAGAATCTTGGACGTTGGTAACCGGGGCAAAACAGAGAGCTTCTTTAAAAAAAAATAAAAGCCTCTGAGGGGAGATGTCACCTTCAAATTTTATTTCTGATGCCAGTGCAGGGAGTAATTCTGCCACAAAATAGAGCTGCCCCGTGTGGTGCCCAAGACCCAAATGGTCTTGAAAGTGGCCTGCCTTGCGAGAGCAATTGGCCAGCTCTCAAGGGAGGCAAGCATCTGTACATCTTTTTTGATGACCATACATTTCACTAATAAAAAAATTACTAATCAAAGAGGAAGGTGTTTGCAGACTACTTACATAAAAAAAGACCTAAAATATATCAATGCTACCATCAAGATTAATTTAATAGAGAGCTCTTCTCTTACCTAAAAAATGTCCTCTCTTTCTCACACAACTCTTAAAAGAGGTGACGTATGTGAGTTCCACACGGGATTAGGTCGAGCGGTTTCGCTGCTGTCTTGGTCTCTCTATTTATGCACAGACAGTTCTACAGTAAAGCAAACAAACAAAACCAAAACCAAAATTTCGATAGTGGAAAGAAATTTTTCTCCAGATTGATATTCAAATTCATCTGACCACAGGTTTTGGGATATGATATAATAAATGATGTAGTGTGACCATTCCATTCTTGAAACCAGGAAGCATGGTGCACAGCAGCCCAGCCAAGCCTGCACAGAAGGCAGTGTGTTGTCTCTGTTTTATGCAGTTATTAATACAAAATGCTTCCCCACTGCATCACCTCAATTTGAGCTTTCAGCAGGATGGTGACAGGTACACTGCTTTAGGAAAGCAGAGAGCTGGCACATCATGGGAAAGCACTTATATGAAGACTCTCTCTTTCTTTTCTTCTTTCTTCCTGGCTTGCTTTCCCTCCTTTACTGCCGGTGACCACCCATGCTTGAGCAATGTTTTGGCTGCTTTCCCACTGATGAGTTTTCCAAACCTTGTCAGAAGCTGGCAGCTAAGTCTTCTGCCACCAGCTTACAGGAAATACAAGCTGGATTGCCTTGTTCCTGCTTTCTTTCAAACTTGCATGTTTATTCTTCTTCACCTTGATTCCTAGAAGAGTCAAACATCTGATCCTCAGGTCAAGCCTGAAGGCAATGGTTGTCCCAGCTGAACATCAGATCGATCCCAATTTTCTTTTCAGTGCTCTTGTTAAAGAACAGTGTTTAATATTTTCTCTGTCTGATGCAGAGCTTCTTAATAAAAACAAAAAGGGATGTTTGACCTAAACTTTAAAAGCAGCAGTGACATTCAGCAGAGAGAGTATTACTCCATTTGCATGGGTCTGAGGAAAGAAAGAAGTCTGACATTGGATACACAAGCATAGCTGAGAAGGGAGGAAAAGAGGAGAAATAGAGAGAGAACCAGGTAATGGGTCCAAGCAAAACAACACACCAGAAGGCATCCAATTCCAGATTAGATCTCGCTTTTATTCCCTTCTCTCAAAAAAAGATGCCTTAAATTATTTAATGCAGAAAGTAGTACTTTGAACTCCAGGAAAATCAAAATGTTACAGCTCTGAGGGGTTTTTTGGTCTTACGGTATCTCGTGAATAAAACCAGCTTTAAGAAAAAAAAACTAAAAAGCAAAGTTGTCTCATCTTTTATAAAAGCAAGATCAAACATTTGGTACAGATGAAGGCTGGTCAAGCATTTAAACACATAATATCAGTGTCTGATGGCTGCAGAATAAGAGGCATTTGGTTCAAAATGGTGCATCATGTTGGTCAGCAAGGTATGCTTCCACTAAATAACCAAAATACACAAATTGAAATAAAGTGAAATTCTTTTGCCAGAGTTAATGAAAGGTTCCTGTTTGTGAATGTGGGGCTTTGAAGTCCAGGCCTTCCAAACAGCACCAGGAATTTACTGGTGATTTATTACTATTTGGACAAGTGGCGAACAGAGCATTACTCTACGGAAAATCCACATTCCCTACCTGTCAAGGGAGGCTTTCTGAAACGGGAACACCAGCTCGCCTTGCTGCAACTCCTCCTAGGGCCATGCCTCAGGTAGGGCCCACATATTCCGGTGTGGTCTCCTCTCCTGGGCCAGCCCCTCCCCTTCTCTCTCCTCCAGTCCCCACCCCATCCTGTGCCGCTCATCTCCCAGTTGCTCTTCCCATTCACCCCAGGCTCCTACAAAGCTCACTTCCTCTGCCCTGATCCTTTCTGTGTGACACTTGGTTTATACCATGAAGGGATTCCAGAGACAGTTTTGCCTGGATTACTGCTGCATAATAACTGGATGTGGAGAGACTTCTTCAGACCCTTCTTAGATTCTCCCAGATGGCCAATTCCACACACACAAATAGTGACCACGCTGTCTCCCCGTGCTTAGATGCCCACCGTGCCCATCTTGGGAAATGGCCATGCCCTAGAAGTGTCTAAACTGAAAGAACCTCTGGGAGACAGGGTCTTCCCTGACATGGGTGGGTTCTGAAACAAGAGTATCCATGTGTTCAGGTGTTGGGGCACTCACAGTCATTACTAGATGTGATACAAGGCAACAACTCAGGGTAAGGGTGAGGCTGTGTTTTGATACTACTCCCATGGGAGTATCTGGACACCTCCTGTAACTCACTACAGCGTGGTCTTACTTAAAACTGATCAAAACACATTCACAAAGCTAAGGGGTGTGGCTGGATTGTTTTCCTGTTGTTCTATTTGCTTGGAAACAACATGATCCTAATGACCATTAATATAAACTCCCACCAATAAGCCATGGAATGATCACCTTATCTAAAAGTTGAGTTTGCTATTTTTCAAGTCTTTGGTGTTACATATCCTCATATGATCCATCTCCATCATTGCGTTAGATTCCTGCAAGTATTCTTGTGTGAAGTGGCTATCAGATGCAAAGAAAGTACAAGACAAAAGCTGTCATAAAGAGCTTCATGGTTTAGTTGACAATAAAAGAATAGGCCTTAAGGGAATCCAGGAGTGAGGTTACGATGGGGGACAGAGCAATGAGGAGAGTTTCAGAGTGGACCCCCCCGAAGCTGGATAGTGGGGCCACAGGCCCTGGCTATTCACCCTTACTGATATGGTATGGCCTTGACACGTAGACTGGTGACTGACCTCTGAGCTCCAGCTTTCACATCTGAAAAGTGAAGATGATGTGACACCCGACTCACAGGTTCCAGGGGGGCATGAAATGCTGCCACTGTGCTGTGCTTGGAGCGCTGATGTGTTGGGAGGGATATCCACAGTGACGGCTGCTAGAATGTTCTGGAGTCACAAAGAACAAGCACTCTTAGGAAAGGTGCCATTTTAGTTAGTTATGACACAATGAATAGGTTTTGGGTCAGAAAGGAAGAACTGTCTGTTTCAGGAAGTGGAGAAAAAAGGAATGAGCAATGAGTCTTCATCTGCCCTTGGGTCCCCAAATTATGTCTTGTTTTGCAGGTCTTATGGAAACACTTCTCTCATTTAAGAAAGAAAATAAATGAACATAGTCATATTACATTTTGGATGAAATATTTAAAATCAGAGACACCGTGCACAGCTTTGATGCATACAAAAAGCCTAAAGGAGAAAGAGGAAAAGAAAAACGTTATTTAATTTGGATGGAGGTTGGAGGAAAGAATGATCTTCAAATAGTTCAGAGTCCTGTCATTCAGTCTAAGTGAAACTCTCCATAGTGCCCTCCCTGCCCTCCTTCCCTTCCTTTCCTGCCCTAACCAGCTCTTCCCCAGAACAGCTGCCACCTCCCCAAAGCAGAAAGAAGCCCAGGGCAGTGTTGAAGGAAAATTGTACTTTTACGTTTCTAGATGATTTCCTAACAGAAAACACATGAACCCTCAGAACTAAAACTTGGGTGAAGATTCCAAGCTCCAACATATGACCTGAAGAAACCAAGTTCATTGGTGACTTACAAATGTGTTGATTATAACTGTCTTCATAGAATGATATTAGGACATTTGAATATGAAAGAATTAACTCACCCGCCTTTATACCTCCACCAGGCCAAATAGCTGGAAAGACGGGTTTTGTTTATACCAGAACATAGGAATATTCACTTTCATTCACATTAAACAAGCTGAAAAGTACTTGAAGTTTCCTTGAGATGTTTGTAAAGAATAGTAGAACAAACATTTGGAAATTTGGGTGAGGCAGAATGCATCCACAACACGGTATTCGACTCATGCTTTTCAGTAAATGTTATGTCTGGCTTCACTTTGAGTGTGAAGGATGAATGTTTTTCAAAACTCTCATTGCTGTACAAATATGATGTGCTAATGCCTCAAAATCACTATTTACCCAGCTGCTTCCACCTAAGGTACCTGGAACTCCGGCCAGAACTTTTTCTCTGTATGCATCTACTCTCACTTTCATTGCCATTTCTGTAGATTATGCTCAGAGGCAAAACAAGCATGGTGATTTTGAGGAGGTGGCTCCAGATACTCCTCATATTTCCACAGGCACCAAATCTTAGCTTGATGGCAGGATGGAAGTTGACTTGGGTGACATATGCGTGATTACAGCATCCATCATCGGGGCATTCCCACACACGGTTTTCCTCCCAAGATTTTGTTATTCTTTGTTAGGACAAAGACTACCCAGGGAACGTCATTGGAAAGTCTGAGGTAGCTATGAACCACAACATTCCCGCAGAAAACCCTACAGCTGTCCTTGTAATGAGATACGTTCCATGTCAGAAGCCTGGAAAAGTGGAAATATGAGGTTGGCAGTTAGAATAAAATTCAGGAAAGATTCACATAGTTTGTAATTGAAGCTATAAGCATGTGGTGAGGCCATGAAGCAGGAGAAGTCCAGAGCTGAGCTACGGGGCTCTCCAACATTTAAAGATTAAAAAGGTGGCTTTTTCACATATGTATACAACAATTCAAAATCTTTGAAATGTCAGCTATTATGTCTGAAGTGGATCAGTAAAATGAGAGCTTCAGAGTCTAGCATCAGATACCAAGGGTGTGGTGAGGAGTGGGGACAGAGTGGAGAGGAAAATGGGAACGAGGAATCCCCAGCACCCCTCCACAGGTGCTGAGGGTGGTAATGTTCTGCAGCCCAAGGTAAACTCTATGCAGTGTGTGCCCGGTCACCTCCAAAGGGGAGATGGGAGCTTCAAGCCATGCTTCACGTTCAGGATCAGCAGACATTTCTAATCGTCTTTATAACCTCCCGAATCAGGTGTTCCGAGGCTCTCCATGTCAACAGCAGGAGGCTTACGTGGCAGAAAATTAACCCTGTACCATTCTTAGCCTGAGCTAGTATGTTATGAAGAGCATTACCATGGCGATCTCACATTCTGGAACTGTGCTTGTCTCTTAAACGCCAGGTGCCAATGAGTCATAGAGGCTTTTTATTCTGGAACCATGTGCCCCCCAAAAAAGGAGTTAGTACAGATTCACCATGATTATGATTATGTGGGTCAAGATGGCCAGGGGCAGACCTATGTTATTTCTAGTTAAATAATTATAAGCTTGCTTTGCTTATTTTACACTGAAGTTTACACCTCGAACTAAGCTGTATTAAATATCGGCGCAGTAAAATAAAAATCAAGCGGCATCAGGAGGCCTAAGGTAAAGACCATCTGAGAGGCTGTAAAACCGTGGAGCACCGCGGGGTGGTTGCAGAGCAGGAAATACTGCTTTGGTCCCACAAATGCCTTCTCAACATGGAGGCTGCATAAGGATCTCCTAAAAAGGACTTGTGTAAAATCTCTGAGAAGGGAGGCGACCTCTGCTCACAAGATCCGGGAGGGTCTTTGCAGATGGGAGCTTGCAAGCAGGAAAAGCTGTGCAGGGCAGAGATTACTGGAACACCACAGGCTCTGCCTAGGCTGTCAGAAAATGGAGTAATCTTGGTTGCTCGGTGTCCATTGCTGGAGAGAGAAAAGCCCCGTGATGCATTGGGTGTGGTCAAACCTGATGGCTCCTTATCCACTATGCTTCTGATGCAAATGCACTTTGATAGCAACCAAGGGGTAAAACTCAGTGTTCTAGGTTTGCATGAGAATCACATCTTGCTCTGCTCAGATGTACTTTGAAAAAGAAAATTAAAATAATTTTAAAATTATAAAATGTAAAAAGAAAAAATATCACAGCTGCTACTGAATACTACAGACCCCACTTCTCCCCCTCGGCTATCTTGCCCACCTTAGTTTCAAGGCCTCTCCCAATAGTTTCAAATCCTCCCCTGATCATTCCTCCCTGCTCCCCCACCCTGAAATTAACAAGTGTATACACCTAATAAAAGCACATGGAGCCCAGAGCTCAGTGCCAACGCAGTTCACCCCTTGCGAGAGTGCATTGGACCCCTGAACCCACGCTGGGGACTTCTACTCTTGTGTTTTTGTCTTTATTTGCTTTTCTCACTCCATCGTCAATGCCAGGTCACGGGGCACCCACGCACAGGGTTGGGCTGGCTCCCAACATTATTATCTACAATTCATGAAGTTCCAAGCTTTTCCCTCCTTTTATTCACAATTTGAGCCCAATCTTTTCTAAGGTACTGGCCTCCCAATACTACTGTAGGTAATTCAGCCTTGGTTTCTGATGGTTAAAGGTTATGACTCATACCAGTCTACAAGCCAGGAAAATTACACTGAGGTTGATGCCCACCATGACCCGATCTGGAGATTCCATAGCATACTCTGCTACTACCAGGAGAGAGTTTTATATTGACACAAATCATGTATTTACCTCTTTACGATGATTAAGTTACAAAATAGTCCATGCAGTAATCCATGGTGTCATCTCATCTTGATAAGGAAGGGGTAGCCAGTAGAGAAATTGCTGGATGCCTTCAAGTCATCGTCCAACATGAACCACATTCTTATAAAAGATTAGACACTTATATATCCAAAGCTAGCTGCCTATTTTCTATGTCTCAAGTAGAGCATCTGGAAAAAACCTTCATCATTGGTGCCTAAGTGTGGCACAGTGGGGAAGCTGGTTTAAAATTACAGAGCCTCTGGAATTTTCTTTTTTCTTTTATTGTACTTTAGGTTCTGGGGTACTTGTGCAGATCATGCAGGATTGCTACATAGGTACATACATGGCAAGGTGGTTTGCTGCCTTCATCCCCCCATCACCTATATCTGGTATTTCTCCCCTCGCTATCCCTCCCCATCCCATGCTGTCCCTCCCCTAGCCTCCCTCAACTGACAGCAGTTTGTGATGCTCCCCTCCCTGTGTCCACATGTTCGAATTGTTCGACCTATGAGTGAGAACATGTGGTGTTTGGTTTTCTGTTCTAGTGTCAGTTTGCTGAGAATGATGCTTTCCAGATTCATTCATGTCCTATGAAGGACACGAACTCATCGTTTTTTATGGCTGTGTAGTATTCCACGGTGTAGATGTGCCACAGTTTCTTTATCCAGTCTACTGTTGATGAACATTTGGGTCAGTTCTAGGTCTTTGCTATTGTAAACAGTGCCGCAGTGAACATACATGTGCATGTGTCTTTATAATAGAACAATTTATACTTATTTGGGTATATACCCAGTAATGAGATTGCTAGGTCAAATGGTATTTTTATTTCTAGGTCCTTGAGGAATCGCCACACTGTCTTCCGCAAAGGTTGCACTAATTTGCACTCCCACCAACAGTGTAAAAGTGTTCCTGTTTCTCCACATCCTCTCCAGCATCTGATGTCTCCCGATTTTATAATGATCACCATTCTAACTGGCAAGAGATGGTATCTTAATGTGGTTTTGATTTGCATTTTTCTAATGACCAGTGATGATGAGCTTTTTTTCATGTTTGTTGGCCTCATAGATGTCTTCTTTTGAATAGTGTCTGTTCATATCCTTCACTCACTTTTGAATGGGTTTGTTTTTTTCTTGTAAATCTGTTTTAGTTCTTTGTAGATTCTGGATATTAGCCCTTTGTCAGATGGGTAGACTGCAAAAATGTTTTCCCATTCTCTTGGTTGCTGGTTCACTCTCATGATTGTTTCCTTTGCTGTGCAGAAGCTCTGCAGTTTAATTAAATATGATTTGTCTATTTTGGCTTTTGCTGCCACTGCTTTTGGTGTTTTAGCATGAAGTCCTTGCCTACATCTATGTCCTGAATGGTTTTGCCTAGGTTTTCTTCTAGGGTTTTTATGGTGTTAGGTCTTATGTTTAGATCTTTAATCCATCCAAAGTTAATTGTAGTATAAGGCATCAGGAAGATTCCAGTTTCTGCTTTCTGCACATTGCTAGCCAGTTTTCCCAACACTGTTTGTTAAACAGGAAATCCTTTCCCCAGTGCTTGTTTTTCTCAGTTTTGTCAAAGATAAGATGATTATAGATGTGTGGTATTGCTTCTGAGGCCTCTGTTCTGTTTCATTGCTCTATGTCTCTCTTTTGGTACCAGTACCATGCTGTTTTAATTACTGTGGCCTTGTAGTATAGTTTGAAGTCAGGCAGCATGATGCTTCCAGCTTTGTTCTTTTTGCTAAGGATTGTTTTGGCTATGTAGGCTCTCTTTCAGTTTCATATAAAGTTTGAAGTGTTTTTTTCCAGTTCTCTGAAGAAGGTCATTGGTAGCTTGATGGGAGTATCATTGGATCTATAAATTACTTTGGGCAGTATGGCCATTTTCACCATGTTGATTCTTCCCAACCATGAGCATGGAATATTTATCCATCTGTTTGTGTCCTCACTTATTTCCTTGAGCAGTGGTTTGTAGTTCTCCTTGAAGGGGTCATTTGCAGCCTTTGTTAGTTGTATTTCTAGGTATTTTATTCTCTTGTAGCAATTGTGAATGGCAGTTCACTTTTGATTTGGCTCTCTGTCTGTTATTGGTATATAGAAATGCTTGTAATTTCTGCACATTGATATTGTATCCTGAGGCTTTGCTGAAGTTGCTTATCAGTTTCAGGAGATTTTGGGCTGAGATGATCGGGGTCTTCTAAATATACAATCATGTTGTCTGCAAATAGAGACAATTTGCTTCCCAAATACCTTTATTTCTTTGTCTTACCTGATTGCTCTGGTTAGAACTTTCAATACTTATTGAATAAGAGTGGTAAGAGAGGGCACCCTTGTCTTGTACCAGATTTCAAAGGGAATGCTTCCAGTTTTTGCCTGTTCAGTAAATTGGCTGTGAGTTTGTCATAAATAGCTTTGATCATTTTGTGATATGTTCCATCAATACCTAGCTTATTGAAGGTTTTTAGTGTAAAGCGCTGTTGAATTTTGTCGAAAGCCTTCTCTGCATCTGTTGAGATAATCATGTGGTTTTGTCTTTGGTTCTGTTATGTGATGGATTGTGTTTATAGACTTGTGTATGTTGAACTGGACTAGCGTCCCCAGGATGAAGCCTACTTGATAGTGATGAATACGCTTTTTGATTTGTTGTTGCATTCTGTTTGTCAGTATTTTATTGAAGATTTTTGTGTCGATGTTCATCATAGATATTGGCCTGAAGTTTTCTTTTTTATTTGCGTCTCTGCTCAGTTTTGGGATTAGGATCATGTTGGTGTCATAAAATGAGTTGGGGAGGAGTCCCTCTTTTTGGATTGTTTGTAATAGTTTCAGAAGGAATGGTACCAGCTCCTCTTTGTACATCTGGTAGAATTCGGCTGTGAACCCATCTGGACCTGGGCTTTTTTGGGTTGGTAGTCTATTAATTGCTGCCTCAACTTCAGCCCTTGTTATTGGTCTATTCAGGGATTCAACTTCTTCCAGGTTTAGCCTTGGGAGAGTGCAAGTGTCCAGGAATTTATCCATTTCTTCCAGGTTTATTGGTTTATGTGCATAGAGTTGTTTGTAGTAATCTCTGATGGTAGTTTGTATTTCTGTGGAATCAGTGATGTCCCCTTTATTGTTTTTTATTGCATCTATTTGATTCTTCTCTCTTTTCTTTTTATTAGTCTGGCTAGTGGTCTATCTATTTTTTGATCTCTTCATAAAACCAGCTCTTGGATATGTTGATTTTTTGAAGGGGTTTTTGTGTCTCTATCTCCTTCAGTTCTGCTCTAATCTTAGTTATTTCTTGTCTTCTGCTAGCTTTTGAGTTTTTTTGATCTTGCTCCTCTAACTCCTCACCCCACCCTGCCATCCTAACCGTTCTTGCTCTGTGAATATCCCTCTGCCCCCTCCCACTATCTTAACTACTCTTACACCTTCCCCCACCCGCCATTGTAACTGAACCTATGGTAGTGTACACTCCTTGCCCCTACCCCCACCACTGTAACTTACTCTGTAATTTTCCACTGCCCACCCCAAACCTACAAAACCAACTTCTATCCCACTGCCCTTGGCTGACGTCCTTTTTTGGCCTCAGCCACCTGAACCCAGTGAATAAACAGCCATGTTGCTCACACAAAG